ATCTATATCCGAATTTGTGTGTGTGTGTGTTTGTGTTTGTGTGTGTGTGGTGTGTGTGTGTGTGTACATGTGTACGTGTACACACCTGCACGTGTGTACGTGCATGATGTATACACATACCTACATATATATCCCCTCTGCTTCCAAAGCGGTGCCGGTAAAACTTGAAAGAACCCCCGCAGAAAATATGTTATATGTCCATTTCTTTCACCTCATACTTTCACTTATCTGCATTCATATACGTATATGTGTATACACACTCATACTTTCACTTATCTGCATTCATATACGTATATGTGTATACACACACGGTTACCTCGTATTCACCAGTTTCGGGATGATCGATCATGTGTGTGCCGTCTGAAGCTTTCTTTTTGTCATAGACTACAGCACCGGACGGTGCTGTAATGGCCACATTCACATCTTCTTTACCTAGACTACCACCATAGATCACTTGGAACTCTAGTACAAGTGGATTCAACGAGTCCTCGACTGCTTCGTATACGCAGAAGGATTTCTTATCTTCAAGTTCGAATGTGAACTCGGCTGCATGAGCATACGAAAAGAATATACAAAGTGCAACAAGTGCACTCGAGATGCGATAGGTCAGCACATGATACATTGCGGTCGTACTGGGGTGCTCTGCTTCATTGTCTACACTCTATACAGTGATACTTCGCCACCTACTTCAGATTCTATAATCTCATTGTTCTCATGTGATGATGTATAATTCTACATAGCCTCTCTGCATATATATTTTTTTCAATATATTGCGATAATTAATTTTGTTCCGAACTGCTTTATGGAGTTGACTGGTAACCGTATCCTAATTGACTGCAAAAGCCAAAACTGATATTTTTGTGAAAAATTTAGAAAAAAAGTCCATACATCCTAAGTTTTAGCTATATCTTGTGTGATACTCTCATCGGCATGTCAGACGTTTTCCGACTACACATATCAACAAATAAAACATTTTCACACAGTAATACCAATTTCACCGTACCGTACATACCTCACGTTCAGACACAATGATCAAACGTACTAAAGGTCGGGGCCGTTTGCATAAACCAATAGAACTACGAGACAAGAAACGCGAGTCCATGGAATACAAGCAATCGATAGCAAAGCAGAGTAGGGCATATGCGAATTTAAAACAAGATAGCAAGCATTTATGGGATAACTATGATGCTTTGATTTCGGCCACGCGATCGAAGTTGCTAAAAGTACAGGAGCGTGCTGATAAGTTGAACGACAGCAGAGAGGTGAGTGTGGGCACACTGTTTGTGGTGATACAGGGGAAAAGTAGATGTAAGATATAAAGTACAGGTTTTCAACATTGTTGCAGGATTTTGTAAAAATTTGGTTTATACTAAGTGAAGTAACTGATATTAACGAAAGAAAATCACCTGCTCTACTACGACAGCCAAGTCAATTAATTTTCACTTATCACGTTAAACATGTGCCTCAATATAGGTGCAGTTCCTCTTTTTGTTTGCACAGTAGCCAGCTCTTTTGTGATCGTATTTATACATAAAGACATAAAGTTTCATATCTCTCTTTGAAATGTGAACAATCGATATTCTGAATATATAGCAACACCCACACCTATATCCACGATGTGTCTGCATATAGACCTGTATGGAAATGTGTATCATGTAGGTGGCATAGCAATCGCGTTTACATCAAGGCTAGTAATCTTATTTCAAGGCTACGCATACTCTGTTCATTGTAGATATACACTTACTTATCGAGCATATATTTTCCTTGTGAGAAGTGCACTACAATCAATACTTCGTATTCATACTTCAGTATCAATCACACTTCTGTATCATTGATAGTTCTACTTCTCGCATACCATTTACTTATATTGTATCAAAGCTCGGAGTGATGTTACAATGCAAACTTTCAGACCGAAAAACTTGAGTAGTGAGCATATTAGTGCATACTTCCCTTACAAGGTGTTTAGGCTCATGATGAAGGCACTTTATATCATCGCGAAGGCCAAATCTTTCGCTGGTAACATTGCTGGTGCGTTTCACAATTACGAGCGACAAATACATGTGTATTTACCTAAAGTATGTTAAGCTCAACAACAGTACATATTAAACTTCATGAACGAGAGTAGGGCGTGATAACTTTTCGCATAGTAGTCAACATCTATAAGAATATCAACAGCAGCACAAAACGAGCTATTTGTATTACTCAGAAATATTGCAGAAATTGCGCGAGCAAGAAGGTTCGGTCCCAGAACGGCGTTTTCAAAGAACAGCCGGGTTTCACTAGTATAGCGAAGGAATCAAAATATAGAACGCCTCGCCCTTATCACACTAACCTTTTTCTATGTTGTCAATCACAACGTGCAATACCTTCAAACAGGAACTACTTATCCTGCGCTGTATACGTGCATTGGCATCAGTCGGACGTGAAGAAGGACGGCCACTGAGCGGAAATCATCGAGCTAGAAAAGAAATACAATCCAGTCGACAGGTATATAACTCATAGTTTAGCATAGCATATCGATGGCTTAGTTCGCCCAATGTGTATTGTCTGACACTTTGCAGACCTTTCTCGTCTACCGAGAGTGACATTCGACCAATAGTGATGCGAATATCTCCATGTGACCTTTACCCGACGTCAATACGTTGACGCTTTGCAGACTCGTCTCCTCTGCCGAAAGTGACATTCCACTATCAGTATTGCGACTATCTTTATGTGATCTGGAAATAACTCAGTTTAATTGTCATTGTATGTTGTATTACCCGCACCTCGATCCATATGCCAATATATACAAACTTTGAAATACAGATCGCGGACGCGTTAAAATGGCTTCTACGTGTAGCCCTCCCGCCCGATGTCGAGCTGCACGAGATTGTATACACTACAGCGCCAACTCCGTGTTGCCATGGAGCGCACACTCAGGCCCACGATACACGCCGGGACGTGTATGTTCTACGGCCCCGGGAGGACACGTGCACACGCATCACTAGCGCTCTGTGCATCAGGCGAGCGTTGGGGATAGAGTTTGAAGAAAATGAACCTGACTGCGAGATCAAAGAAATTGAACCAGAAGGCGTGGGCAGCGCCAGTACCAGCGATATGGCCAATGATAATGAGAGCCACAGGGAGTCAGCAGAGCTACTGTCCAAAGTCGAAGTTGACAAAGCTCTGGACGAAGAAGCTGACTCGGATGAGGAACATAATACACTCGATCTGAGTGGTAGCGTTGATAAAGCTACAAAGAATGTAGAAGCCGCCGGAGCTGGGAAGGATCCAATACACAACTCAGAAGACTCCGATAGCGATCAACTGCCCTGCCTGTACAGTACACCCGAGACCCCGATACAGGGTTTTAAGATGAAAGAACACGCACACAGCAAGGCTAAACCGAAAAGAAAGCGGGCAAAACGTCGGACTTTTATAAGAGTCCCGCCGTCAGTGGATCAGTTCATGGTAGGCAATCGCCATGAGAAGCGAGCCCGACAAGCTACCGCAACGTTTGAACATTTCTTAGGTGAACCCTTAGATTGGGCAGTATTGCGAAGTTCCCCGGAAAATTGCACACCAGATACGGATGCTTCAGGAGGTAAGGTACGTGCTCTACCAAAATCAACAGAAAAAGTCGTAAAGCCCACCCCCTTTTCGGACAATGGCCCTACTAACCTGCAAAAGGATAAAGGTATACTACACAAGTCACAGAACACGATGGCTGATCCGGTTGATAGCCTGCCACCCTTGGGATTCTTGGATTTCGATGACACATCTCAGGGTCTGCCCCCACTGAGTGCTACATTGTCGTCATCATCGCGTGAGTATGTAGAGGCGGTGGGTTTGGGAACAGCTAAAGGCATAACCCCCCCCCTGCACTCGAGTAAGAAAGATGAAAGTATAGTGCAACACGGTAGTGTTGACCGCGCGATAAATCACAGTATAGCCCAAGAAGATGCAGCTAAGAACCGTCTCATAAACCCAGTACAAAAAAGTACACGAACACTCAGTAGTCACAGCCCTGTCCAAAAGCTTCACACGCAGCCAGATACTGCTGCAATCGAAAAGCCAACTTTATGCTCGACACAATTAGACTTCAGCGGGAGATGCGAGTCGTCGGAAAATGTTGAGATACTGGCACTGCTTCAAAATACGAAAACACAGGATAAACACATGCAAGGGGACCCCTATACAACAAGCGCTTTGCCGGACAAACTACCAACTCTTCCTTTAATTCCCCGGTGATTAGACTGCAGTGTATAAACTGTTGCAGTGTATAAACTGTTGCGGTTTGCACCCGCCGTAAGAACAGTTATTTCTGTAATAGCGTAAGTCCCCACAAAAATAAATTTGGAGTGAAAAGTTATATGCCAGTGATACGTGGATTGCTCAAATTGAAATCGTGCCAAATAAAAAGGATTTTTGCAATGAAAAGTGCTATTATTCACCTATCTACACGGAGACACAGAATTATGTTATAGCGAATCACAAAAACATTCATTGTTGTACATACTCATGAGATACAATCCTGTGCTACTGATATTTGTCTCAAAAATAGATTCGTTGGTTGAAGTGGTTTCTTCCATAAAAGTATATGCCTACTATGTATGTCCGGGTAAGTATCAGAAAAAGCGGATAGCGATTGCGATATGGAAACAGGAAAGGAAAGAAAAATCGACAAGGAGGCCTTCTTGGTCAGAATCAAATGTGACCAATGAACTTCAACTTGCCAACAGTGACAATGCGGTGATCGCAGTGATTTACTTTCTTTGAAATGCCAATAGAAGGCAAAATGGGCACCCAGATACTGGACCACAAATGTGCATCAATATAAACACTATACCACCTATTGATATTCATGTCTATTTAATACCCTTTCCTTATAAGCTTAACATACCAAGCCTTGAGGTAGAATCAGGGGGACGGTGGAAAAAAAAGCTGTCTTTGCTTCCATTTTATACCATCCAGAAAAAGCCGATAGGCCGAATGTGTCTGTTAGTGTTTCTATGTAGACATCCCATAATTCGTTGTTTTTTCAGCGTGATGGCACTCTGCCCACCACACTCCTGTGATTGATTCTACAAATATTATCCCTTGTGCTCAAACAGAAAAGTTCTTTATCTTATCTGCGATGGACCATTTGAAACGATCCTGTGCGTCTTAGAACGCGAGCCTCTGAATTCACGGCATTCGACCCCAGCACCCCCTTTCGGATCGAAAAACCAGAGGCATGGCAATATCATCAGATACATACGTATTCATATTTTTCAAGCGATACAAGCAAACTGATAGAGAGCCAATTCACTTGCGGATGCTTAAAGTCTCAAATAGACAAATGGATCAAATCACAAACTAAATCAGATGGTAGTAGTGGACACCCTACACTCTGACATATCAGAGAAGACGTCGGCTACTATCATTTGGTTTGGTTTGAGCTTCTATCCACTTGTCTGTTTCAGCTTGCTGTCCGTTGTATATGAGTGCTGGGTAACGCGTGACTTTAAGCATCTGCAGGTGAATTGGCTCTCTCAGATTGTACTTGTATCGCTTATACGACACATGTGTGTCCAACCACCATTTTGAAAGTCGTATAGGGACCGCTTCTGGGATCACTTTATCATCCAGAGTGATGTGAACCTCGCACCCTCTAAAGGCAACCCAATATTGGATAGCGATTCCTGGAAAAAAATATCACTATTACTATCCACACAATCGGCGGGTGAATGTGACTTGAAGGCTAGAACATATCGCGAAGAAGCATTCCAAAATCGGGCAGCAATACGAGATGACCCGGTCCTGATGGAATGTCAGTATATCCAGAACGATCCTCTAATCTATCACAATTACATATCCCTTCTGCTTTCTCTTGCCCTTATTTACCTCAATACAATCATCGTCGAGATTGATCGCTACATTGGTCCGTGCATTGCCCTTCTTTCCAGCACGTCTCACGCCCTCTAATTTAACCTGTGTGTCCGCTTGAATCGCGTCCAGATCAATACTCGTACTCGCGCTCGAGCTCGATTCGCCATTGCTGGCGGGTACACCGCTGTCGGTGCTTACTCGAACCTTCTTCTTAATTGGCTGCTGAGTGGGTGAGCCATTGTATCCAGCTGTGGTACGTGTGGCACCAATGCCCTTCTTCGCTACCGCCGCAGTGGCCGGTAGACCATCTCCGTCAATTATCCGTCGGCTTTCCAGCCACATACTATCTCTGATAAATACTGTGACCGTCTTCTCATGCAGCACTTGCTTCAGGTGATCAGGGTATACGTACCTGCTAGGTTGTATTGCTTTCTTCACATTCTCACCGCCACCAACACCAATGCTTGCCCCTTTTTTGGCCATTTCTTTCTCCGTGACTTTCTCTTTCTTACTCAAATTGTATATTACCTCCGTAAAGATATGATTATGACTCATCGCTTGCCCTTTCTTCGCTGCCGTGAAAACCACTTTGATCGTCCCAATATCAGTTGCCTTAGCGCCCCCGCTACCCTGGCTGCCATTTGCACCGACGCGCTGCAGTGCACATCAGAAATATACCAATTCAAAATTGTGATAGTCAGACTCTACAGCATCGGATAGATACACGAACGGGATTAAATAACTTCATAGACGTCACGAAAACACACAATCTTATCGAGCACAATAAAGAATTACAAAATCTCGACATAACTTTTACAAGTGGCATGTGAAATGTGGCTGGTAAATTTGTCGGACAGACTGCCATCTAGATGCACAATTCGAGCATGCAAAAAACATGTATGTTCGCTATTTGCACCTCTTACCGCACCCTTCCTACAATTCCAGGTCCATAACGGCGAGCTTGCTGAATGATACCGATCAGTAGAGTTTGACACAAAATCATTGAAACAGGTTCGGGTCATACTAATAAGATCGCACAATAATACAAACCGGCGAGGTCATGGAATATCGAAATACATAAAATTAAATTCAGAAGCGCAGGAAATGATTCCTATGCAATAGCACGATTATAGAAAATGAAGTGTAAGTATATTGCTTACCTCCCCTTGGACATCCTGAAAAGCAAATTTGTCTACAGATTCAGTATTGTTCTCAAGTATAGCCCTCGACCAGCCAAAAAAATGACAATCTGTAACATCAATTATATGTATGTAGACTATTACTGATCAGTGATGCATACATGGTATGTCCAACAATTAGGATCCACCGAAACCTTCGCACACGATGAATGAAGTTAGTATATATTTAGGATTCGTCAGTTCGTGTAGCAATTGGTAGATATTTCAGTGCACTGAACTACACCATCACATCAACTTCAAATGTCAACATGTATAATTGCGTCTGTCTCTATATCGAGATTCATAGTCATGTCGATAAAAGCTGTTCTAATCATCCTCTAGGTAGTACTTACCCGATGTACCGCTGGCTACTAGACCCATTGAGCGTATCTTGACGCCATCGACGTACATGTGCAGAATCATGGAATCATACTTTGGGGCTAACTGTCGTGTAGCATTGGGACTAAATGGCGATACACGGATTTCGAATCTCTTTCCGGCTTCGGCACATACATAGAATCCAGCTACAGTAATAGTAAAATAGAATAGATGTAAGTGACAGTCTTGTGATCTAGACGAACAAATTTTTCAACTAGCCGATGTGAGTAGATCTCCTGTTCGCAATCAACCTGGTTGACATCATAATACCTGCACAATCAGTGCCGAAATTGGTAACTTGCTACCTCCGGTTAGTTCTTAGCTGCAGATGTGGCGTGACGCTTGGATATATGCAGCCATATAGATCACAGCACAAAATCACAAAATGCAACTCCTGGACTCCACATTCTAGATATTCTGTCATGCTGTAAGCTTACGTTCGACTTTGGGGCACTTTTTCGAGCGATCTTCGGCAACCTTGGGAGACACGTAAAACAGGGGCATTGGTTTCAGTTCGTCCTTCAATTCCTTTCCCGGCTTGACATCTGAAGACTTTGACTGGCTTGCGACGTACAAACCAAGACCAAATTCTGAGGTTGGCCATGTGACGAAGTGTTACAAGTCGTACCGCCACCCTGAGAATGTACCCGAGTGACATGCCACGAACGACGCCATATTCGGAATACATGCTACACACTCCTCCTTCCACTAGTCTTGATATTATGATGCTTACATGAGGCACTAGCGTTGTTCAAACGTAGTTCACTCTGAAAACAGAAGCAACCTGTGATCACGATTAGAATCACATAACTTACACCAACTAGCAAGTCCTAGTGCATGTCAGTCATGCGATGTAACCTATTGCACTACTGATAGAACTCTCTCAAATTTGGTCCTGGTTTAGACAGTCCTATACACACGTGCAACTGTACGTTGTCCTGGTACAGCGATCATACCAAATTGTATACATGGTTGTGAACTGAACAAAGAGAGAGGAACCATTCACAGGGTTCACACAGTTCCAGGATCAGAAGGAAAGCATAAATAAGTCGACTCAGGAAAAGAGGAAAAGAGTCTACCAGAATTGTACCACGCAATACAGAAATAACGAAGTTTAATTCGACATCAAAAAACAGTGTCACATATAAACGGCGATGCATAAATTCTATGATACATATAAACAAGTATTCCATAGAAACGGAGTTCCATATCAACGATGATAGCTATAAACAATGATAGATATAAAATATAGGTTCTTAAATTTGGCAATACATATAAACAAAAGACCCCAATAATACATACTCCACGGAGATTCTACCCGCATGTGCTCGTTGAACGCCAATACATCCTCTGATATCAGCATCGCTGGGCTAGGCAAACAAGCTCGCGGATCCGTCTGATTCCACATTTCGGTTTTGAGTTCAATTTACGTGATCCAAAGCGTTAAAGTTTATCAAAAGCGGAAATATACAGACGCCGGCTCTGAACTTGGGTGTAAACCCGAAAACTGTGTGATAGACTTATGCTCGGGACAAGTAAGGCGGAAACTACAAGGACAAGAAGTGGTAATGCCTGGACTCACTATGTGTAGGACATATGCTCTACCCTCTTGAGGACTTTTATTGACACATTATAAATATTTGCAATGCAACTATCCTCCTAAAAAAAAAATAGTCAATAAACAATCTGCAAAAATTGCGCGCAGCACACTTTCAGATTTTTCCATAGCCTTCAAAATTGCAGATTTTTTTATTTCGTTTCATTGGAATCCAAATTATGATTTTTATATATTGGTATATAAAATATATACAGTAGCACCCATTCGTCTATCGGCTAGGATATAAGCTTCTCACGCTTGAGGGCGGGGTTCGATTCCCCGATGGGTAAATTTTTCTTCAATCTTGAGAGCTGTGTAGAAGTTTGCACTGATGTAAAAATCTGCGACCAACAATCAGTGTACAGTTTAAAGGGCTATAATCCTATAGCCTTCTAAAAACAAACAATAATATAGGTAGTAAAATAAATTATAAAAAAGAGCAGGCATATTAATATCTCTCTTGTTTGTTTTAGAGAGGGCTATGAGTGTAGATATTTTTAATCGATAATTTTGATCAAAGCCAATATGTGTAACCCATTCGTCTATCGGCTAGGATATAAGCTTCTCACGCTTGAGGGCGGGGTTCGATTCCCCGATGGGTAATATTTTTTTTCCGGTTGACTAGAGGTACATATAGAAGATACGTTACGGATTGGTCTTTCAGGACCGGTGACCTTAAGAATTGGAGACAATGCAGACCATTAAACCAACCAAAATTGTTTTATAATAAGCCCATCCCTTTATTTTGTTCTGTGTTTATTGGTCTCCAAATACCACTACTTTACTATTCGAGCGCTGAAACGGGTATCATATGCACTTTATGACATCGTATAATCTGCATGGATGTTTGATTGAGAAGAGTCCACTGTTTGAAAGATAGTACAATAGCCCCTGGACTAAGAAGGGTCAATCGTCGGTTGCAAGTAAGCTTCCTACGTTCAGTTACCAACACTCCCCACCACCGGTCCCCGGCGTGGTGGCTTCTCATACCAAGTGTCATCTGAGTTTTGTAAGTTAGGTCTGATATGCATATAACTTCCTATACCGCCTGATATAGCGCACACTCCTCACTTTGAAAAACATCTATCTCCGCAGCACCGCTACTATATCGCGCACTTTTAATTCGTTAAATATGTTATAATCCTCTTATTATTGTAGGGGTTTCGCCTATTTGTAGTCATCGTCAGACACGGAGAGATCTGAGACACTTCCTGAATCTGCAGCGCCATCACTGTTGTTGTCACTCATATCACTATGCCACTCTTCGTATGACTTTCTCGCCGTCATCTTCGACGTTTCTTGTGCAGGCTTGCTCACGTTGTTTTTCTTTGTTTTCCTGCCTTTCCTGTCACCCCGTGCAGATGATCCGACCCCACCCCTTTCCCGCTGCAAATCCGCTGCGAAGTCGTACGACGAGTCTGAATTGTTGTCAGATCGCTCGTCTACCCAGGGATCATCCGCTTCGTCTCGCATTAACTCTACGTCAAGCAATGTTTCACTACTCTCCGAAGACGGCGAGTAGCTTTTGTCAGCATCCTCAACCTGGTAGTTTGGATCGAGCTTTTCATTCGCATCCTTGCTGTTCTCCTCTTTCTCTGCGTCACACAATCTTATGAGTTTCCGATGTTTGGGTTTGACATGCTCTGTATCGACGTTTTCGGCACTGCCTGTCTGGACTTGTTCTTGTTTGCGCTTTCGTTTTCTCTGTGGTTTCTCTACACTTCTGTTCGATCGTTTGTTGCTGACTTTTCCGGTGTACTTACTATTGGATTCGTCCGACTCGAATTCCTCTTCATGCTTAACCCAGTGCAAAAAAAAAGCAGGATAATTAAAGATCAGCTTAGCTGCCGGATACGCTACCAATCGTATGGACAAATATTGCGCTCGACCAAATGTATTGCTACTCATGCGATATGGGTTTATATATGCTAGAAACTACGTGATCTTAGACATACCTCACTTGGTTGCCAGCCTATGCTGCCACCAGTATCGACACGACGAAGCTCAGAAGCCTTGGTTTGGTTGCCATCATTACCTTGCCACTCCGTACTGAGACTAGTATCCAACTGTTGTAGTTTGGCCCCGTTGTGACCTTCATTGTCCGACCTTAAGTTGGCGACGATATCGAGACAGTAAATTACAAGAGAAATCACACATTAGCGTTGACCGGGCACGGTGAGTCAAAGCCGCGTAGTGGTCTGCAAAGGACAATCAAGCTCCTCAAACACGCACACATGTTTTGGTGAACTTATTTTCTATGATTCAAGTGCACAACCCGAATTCGAGTGTAGAAGGTGACAGATTACTAACATGCATCTTGGTTCATGTCTAACACTCGAGCGGAAATTGTGCTCATGCTTGGTACCGTTGAGATGCGCATGCGCACTCGACGAAAAAGCACCACTAGCTCTGACATACCCAATCTCAGCAGGCCCCTGTAATTCCGAAATAGATTCCCCTGCACTAGACTCACCACCTACGTCCTCGTTCGCTTTGTAGCTGGGAACACAGCCAACTCCCACCACCTTGGTACTCCTACCCCTCCTACTGGTTCGCTCTCTCTCACTGCGCTCAGCTTGTTCTCGTTCCCTCCTTTCCCTCCGCGCGTGCTCGCGTTCCCCCTCACTGTCCGATACCGAGCTACTCTGGCTGTCTTTCGTACTGGATCTTTTGGGGGGTGCCCTTCTTGACGGGCGTGTCACCTCAGACATGTGGCTGTCGAGTATGTCGTCCAGAAAATCATCATCTTGATCTAGCGCGTAGTTGACTCGGGTGCGCGTCCTGTGGTGAATAAAAACGATAATAAATATGCTTTACAACAATGTATGTCGTACTGAGAGTGGGCATATCAGTACAGTTGTGTGTTATGCCACGACGATGTTTAAGTACATTCAACCCCCAGGGGGACGATGATGGAATACGATCGTGGCTAAGAACCAGCAAAGAATTGCGCATACCTTCGAGAGCCAGCTTCGACCCTGAAAATACTAGCCTCGGATTCAAGTTTAGCAATCCTTCGACTGTCTCGCTCCCTTTTCTTGATTTCAGCCTGTTCTTTTTCTTCTCTCCGTATCCGTGCTTCACTACACGCTTCCATCGTTATCTTCAGATTTGTCAACAAATCATCTCCTTCTTTCAGTCTGCAATTCGATTGGCAACGCAAAGGTTACAAAAGGATCTATAAATACTCGATATATATATATATATATATATTACGTATGAACTACTACTTATGAAATTCACACGTCGGGTACAAGTATAAATATATACATGCAATTGCAGACATCCAAAATACATCCCTAGTGGATCTAGACACTTGAATAGAAGGCAATCTTATGAGTTACGTCAGCAACGTACAGGTACATACATCTTGCGTTCAACAGGGGTGTATAAATATAAATCAAATACTCCCTGTTGAATCAACCTATTGCGACCCTGCATCCAAGATTCATACTACTAGCACATGGCCGTACTTCCCAATCATGCAATGCTAGTAGCAACTGTGTGTACTAGACTAAAAAGTATATGAACAAGCGGTACCCACGCTATACACATAAAATGTATAGCACTACAGCCCTATAGATTCTATATAATCGGCGAGACCTTGAAGATAGAACTATGATCAGGTAGAGATAGTGATGGCAACAATACGTTGTCACACTCCACTCGGCTTTTCACAAACTACAAACGTGCGCCGAATCAACATACTCCGCTCCTACGTATTGATAGAATCAACGAAGTTGTTGTGGGTATACACGGAGCACACGGTGCACACGGATGTAACTCAGATTTAGACGTATGCACAAGGACCAGCCTGATGGTTGCTTCGTTGCCTGTAGAATATATATTGGATATGTGCCTGAGCATGCACACCACCAATCTATACATTCAGACATATAACACTACGAATTGCTTACAATGCAGCACTCATCGCGCTCTGAGCTCCCATTTTCGACTTCGCCTTCGCCTTGCCTTTCACCTTGCCCCTGGCCGCGGGCAACTTCTTTCGCTTTGCTCGTTCGGATATTATACTTGATTCCAGTAGGGATACGAAGTCTGCCAGCTCATCCTCAGTACGGCTGACTGGAGTCCAGTCACCCTCGTAGTCAGCTGTGCCGAAGGTAGAGAGAGGCGGTATCAACTCAGCAATGTATTCAGGGCTTGATATTGATCGTTATTTGCACCATAGCTCTTGATATTGGTTTCCTCCCCAATAAACAACGAATATATATATCCACGATAGTGTGATGCTCGGCTAATATATATTAAATAAACTGTAGCTGGGCATGTAGTAGATCGCATGCATTCTCAGCTATGAATTGAAAAGACATGCAAACGTCATCTTAAATCTAAGTAGGGACCAACACCAGAATACACTCCACAATGCGTGGTTGCACGCAGATAGGCACACACACTTATACATATATATATATATACTAATATATATATATATATACTCACACACATA